TATATTGTATATATAAATAATGTATAAATAATGTATATTATTTATGTAAATATTGTATAAATTGTATTGTATATTATTTATATATATATAATATTATATAATTATATTATATTATATTATATTATATATTTTATATATTATATTTTATATTGTATTATATTATATTATATTATATATTTATATTATATTATTTATATTATTTATATAGATATTGTATAATTTATAATGTATATTATTTATATAAATATTATATAATTATATTGTATATTATCTATACAAGTAATGTATCAGTAATGTATATTATTCATATAAATATTGTATAATTTATAAAGTATATTATTTATATAAATATTATATAAATTATATTGTATATTATTTATATAAGTAATGTATCACTATTGTATACTATTTATATAAATATTGAATAAATTATACTGTATATTATTTATATAACTAATGTATCACTATTGTATATTATTTATATAAATAATGAATAAAAAATGTATAAAAGAACATCCTCGACGAATCGCGTCCCATAGCCGACGCGACGCGACGCGACGCACCGCACACCATAAAAGTTCGAAAGACTTCGCCCAATTTCGACAGCGTTGCAATTTTCGAAAAAAGAAGGGCGCGAAGTTTCCGCGTAGCTTCTCAGCTTCGAGCCGGATCGATCCGGGTTTTCCGGGTGTTTAGACAGGCGTTCGCCGGTTTTCGGTAGATGCAATTTTCCGGACTACGAGCAGAGCGATTACAAAGTCGCCGATCAGGCGATTAGAGGCGTTTCAACTGTTGGTCTCGGGAGTTTCGGAAGTTCTGTTCTCGGAGTAATAGGATCTTGATCTCCGCTCGGAGTTTCTCACCGCCGACGGCCACACGCCGCCGCCGCTTTACCGCCCTCGGCTGAGAAAGCGGAACGCGGAGCACCCCCGGTTCCTTTGCCCTTTTAACCCGCGAGGGACCGACGCGCGGCCTGCGTTCGTAATAGGTCAAGATGAGCCAACAAGCTTCCGTGATTGGACAGCGGCGCGCTTTATTTTAACGTAAATATCGCGTCGTCCGATTCGCGAAAACCGCGCGCCGTTTGGAATTTGCTTCTAACATGAACGCGCTGACATTTGCTGCGCATGAAACTGCATGGAATTCAGGGTGCGTCGCAAAAATGTCTCGCAATTTGGAAATATGGGTTCTCGAGGGTATTTCAAGCAACTTTTTCCTTTGCGCAAATGCGATCCGCGGCTTCGTTTGCGAGTTATCAGGGAGAAACGATGACCAATGAGAGGCGAGATCGGCTGGCGCGACGCGGCCGAGCCAATCAGCGGAATTGGGCTGCCGCGCGCCAGTCGAGCTTCGCCTCTCATTGGTCACTGCTTTTTCGCTGATAACTCGTGAACGATGCATCGGAGGACGTTTTTGTAAAGGAAAAAGTTGCTTGGAATTACCTGAGGAATCTCTTCTTTCTGGATTGCGAGACATTTCTCACTCGTAATCTCATTATTACGTAATTTGTCGTATAAAATTTCTTATTTACCGAACGAACGTGATTCGATTTAACTGAATTATTATTTATTACTTATTATTACATTTATATTTATATTATATTTATATAATATATATAATATAATATTTTTATATTATATATATTATATATTCTGCATTTTATATATCATTGTATTTTATATTTATTATATTTATTATTTTATTAATTACCATTTAATCCGATCCACGTGAAATGAACGAACAATTAGGCGAACGAGTCGGTCATAGGAATTTCCCGAAGCCGATGGAAACTCGGTTTTCCACGTGGCTCGGGTTTGCGGCTGCGACAATAAGCGACGAGGGGATTCGTTTTTTCCGGTCGGCAGGCTCGCACGCCGTTAACCCGTCGACGCATTTGTCCCGGTCTCGCATTTTTCTCTAGGTCGAGGAAAAACAAACGAGCCACGTATCCCGAGAGGAATCGGAAATGCGACAGGTGGTTCGCCGAGGGGAAACGGATAGATTCAATTAACCGTCTTCCGGTGTCACGCGCCGTTTCGCGCCGGCTACAATTAACGACTAATAACTCTGCGCCGTGACGAATGGCGGGTCTCTCTCTCTCTCTCTCTCTCTCTCTCTGTCTCTCTCGCTCGTCTTTTTTCTCCTCCGGGCACAATATCAAAGGACAAGTCCACCGTCTCCTCCAATTCATCAGCCGAATTGGAACAGCGATTGCAGCCCGACCCTAGATAATTCGTCCCCTCTCACCCTCCCTCTTCAGCAATCAAGATAGTGCAAGGGTTTCTTCGAAATCATTTTTCCGAACGGGTCGGCCCTCTTCCTCCGCTTCTCGCGCGACCCATTCAAACTCGCGACGAGAAGTTCGTTCGTTTGTCCTCCCCGCGGGCCGGCCGGCGAGGACCTTTTCCGCGAGTTCTAGCGAGCCGAAGGGAGCTGAAAAGGGAACTCGATTATCCGCGACCCTATCTCCGACACTGTCCAAGTCTTGTTCTCTCTGCTTTCGCGCGCCTGCCATTTTCTTTTCACCGCGAAACATCGGCTAACGAAGTTCTTTCCCGTCCGGCGTCGATCCCGTCGTCGGGATTTGCTGCGACACTTTCGCAGCACCGTAGCACGACGGAATCAAATGAGCGTTCCTGTAACGAACTGATGGCAATTAAGCGGCGGCACGATCGACCGACAGCCGGATCTGGCCGTTATCGGGA